AGTTACTTTTTCCAAGTAAGTAATGCCAGTTACTTTGTTTCCTCGTGTATTGACTGCAGTTCTCCTGTGCTCATATTGAGAGGAATCAGGAGTGAGTGCAGAGGCGTTGTGTGCGCTGTGTGAACATGTTACTGTAGTTCCAGAATAAATGTCAACATGCATTTACTCATCTCACTCACACAAAAACAGATTCAGTAGTCCTCAAAATGAACAAAAACAGAAATGCAAAACCCGGCACAAACCTGCAATAATTCAATGTATAATACAAATTAGAAAGATGAGAAAAAGTAACACAAAAGTAACGTAACACACTAATTTGGATAAAAAGTAACACAATCAGTTACGTTTTAAGGAAGTTACGCAACATTGTAATGCATTACTTTTAAAAGTATCATTCCCCAACACTGTTCACTACTAAATTGTAGGCGAAAAACAGCAGCATGTCTGAATTTAAAGTACTCATAAAAGATTAGGCGAAAAGTACCTGGATGACCTACTACTTCCAGCAAGATTCAGAGGGTTGCATACAATGGGACACTTTTTTATGGATTTGTGAATGGCCTTGAAGCAACCCAACAGACTCGTATAGGTCAGATTTATAACGGATAGTATTGTCATTGTTTTGAAGTACTTTATTACAACCAAACAGTTCTGTATCCAGATGTATTGACATTCAGCTGTCACACTAGGGCTGCACGATTATGACAAAAATTAACTGTCGATTATTCCCTTGAAATTGTAATTGCGATTATTAATTACGATGATCACAATTTACACTGAATGATGTTTATACCATTGTTTGATGCAACTGCATGCCGTATTTTTATATGAAAATAAACAAGCTGAAAACACTAACTGAAAAAGTGCTTTTCTATAGTATTAAGCCTCAAATGTCAACTATACATCGGATTGGTTTCTTCTTTAAATTATAAAAAAGTAAAAATATGAATGGTATTATAATGTTATACTAAAACTAAAACAATGGAAAAACCCTTAAGATAACATGTAGAAAGAAAAAAAACGCATCTTAAGCGTGCAGAATAACATAAGCATCCATAATTGTAATTGCGATTAGAAATTCGATTAATTGTGCAGCCATACAATGAACAATTATTTTTACTGCATTTATTAATCTAAGTTAATGCATTTTTATTTAAAGCTATTGCATTAACTGTCGAGTTAGCCTTGTAATCAACCCAGAACATTCCTTTCATGAGCCAAAAGCTCTTCATTGCAGACATTCTATCAGATCCACATCTCAAATCTGGGTAGTGGTAGTCATAGAGAGTTTTGACCATCAACGTAAGGTCTGGTCTACAATCCAACCCAGCCTTCGGGCCAACAGGTAACACAAACAGCCATAAACTTTCTTTTAGGGTAGGGTAAATCTGAAATCAGTTAATACCAAGACCACTGCAATATACAGGTGTGCTCAAAAATATATATATGCTTAAAATTTTTTTTTAAATAAGTCTCTTAAATATACAGTAAAAACAGTAATATTGTGAAATATTATTACAATTTAAAGTAAGGGTTTTCTATTTTAATATACTATTTAACATATAAATAACTTAAATTGTCAACAGCCATTACTCCAGTCTTCAGTGTCACATGACACTTGAATTAGCTTTTTTTTTTAAATAGAAACCTTTTGTAACATTATAAATGTCTTTACTGTCACTTTTGATCAATTTAATGCATCCTTGCTGATAGCAGTATTAATTACTAAGAAAAAGTCTTATTGAACCCAAACTTTTGAATGGTATTGTGTATTGCTACTAGGTATCTTGAACAAAAAGTACTTAGTCATTTAACCAGGTGGTCTGTGGGGGCGTAGGAGTGTTAGACATCCTGATGTTTTAATTAAAGGCCTATTACTGTTGTGTTCCTCAGCCTGCTTACAGGATGTTAAACCCAGATTGCCTGTCACTGCAATTAATCAACTGTAACCCACTTGGAAAAAAAGAGCTTCTGTTAGATGTCCAGTTAGTAGATTAGTAGAATCCAGTGGTAGATTGCTCTTATCATAAATGTACCATGACTGAGTGAGCAGTGAAGAGTTGTGAAGGCGTGGGGTGAGGGAATGTTTCAGTAACGCACATGAGAAGTGCTGACAGCAGTGACTTCCATCTGCTCGGCAGCCCTCCAGCGTCTGCTTCATTTCAGTGAGGACATACTGTATTTGTTCTTCTATTTTTTTATATATATTTCTACAGAATAAAATTTCTGGATTTTCAGAACTTAAAAATGAATTGAGACTGTGAGGTAACAATATATATATATATATATATATATATATA